CTCATGTGAGGGTTCCACGGCGAATGATAACCAAGTTAGTGCTAGCCATGGCCCATTTCAATAACAACCCTCTAAAAAGATATTAAACATATAAAGTATCCATGGATCTAAAAGCACTTGAGTATAGCTTTAAGGTTAAAGCATTAACTTTAGATTCAGACAGACCTAGATAGGACCTAACTCAGCCATTTAACAGCTATGACAGATGGGGATCTTTAAGTGTCAGTGTTCTCACTTACAAAAATGAATCTCACTTCATGGGGTTGCTGTGAGGATTAAAAGAGAGAATGTAAAGGGCTTGCCATGGTTGGCTTAGGGGTAGGGTTAGAGAGTGCTGGAAGGTAGCTATAATTAGTCTTCAAAGTCTTAACATTTCAACATAGTTTTGACTTTCTTTTACTGCATTTCCCCAACCCAGGTTCCCTGATTCTTAAAATTTAGGTGGACAAAATGTGGGCACTATAGGGTTAAATTTAGCCTCTTATGAACTATAGATTTAAGGTTTCTTTGTGGTCTACAATTAGCATTTAATTTGAATACTTACCCTACTGCTGTTTGTTTTTCCTGCCTGAGAAATGTCAAGTGGGGTGGATGTGAAATAATCCTGACTGGGGATATTGAACATGTGAGAGTTTTAATGACAGTGGCTTTAAAAAAACTCCTACAAAACCAAGCATATGGGATCATTAAATTATTGATGATGTTTTTGCTGCAGTGGATTTATAAATAATACATGTTTAAAGGGTTATTTACGTTTCTTTAGGCAAACTAAAGAGTATTCTCGTTTGAGTTTAAAGAGAACTGACAGTTGGAGAAAGGTCAACAAAATGTTCATTCATGCAGTTTCTATGCCAAAACCCTCTTAAACTTCAAATAAAGATTATTTTATATAACCACACCAAATAGTCTCCCTTATTTTTAGAGCAGAACTTGGCAATAGATTTAATTGAGCAACGGGTTAGGGTTGGGTGGGAGGGGAGCTTGAAATAATGAGAGAAGTTTCATATTAAACAGTATTACTTTTTTTCTTAGAAAACCTCCAAACTGAAGTTAGATTCTGTGAACAAAAACAAGAAAGGAACCCATCAGTTACTCTCAGAAGCCCATCAATTGTCGGACACACTAGGTCTTCAGGATATGTTATTCTAAAAAGGGATGGCATGAAGTGACTAGGGACAGAAATGGGAAAACTATGAAACCGGTTGTGGTTATTTTCCGCCCAGGGCTGCCCTCCATGTGTCTGGAGGGCAGACCCATGGAGGGCCAGAAATTACAGGTCAAGTTTTGTTTTATATGCATATGGGTGGGTTTGGGGGAAAGGCATATGATCCATTGTTTTAATCAGATTTATGGCCTGGAAAAAATTCAGATCCACTGCTTCTTCCTTTTTCCTTTAGGAACTGGCAAAGAGGAGTGAGGAGGTCAAAGGCATGGGGGTGAGGGTGAAGGAAAGGGAGAAACTGAAGTTCTTCTGATCGTCATTAACTTCTTACCTCCCTTCAACCTTTCTACCTCCGTAAACCACAAGGAACACTAAATGTTGGCTGGTTCTGAAAGGGAAAATAAGACATTTGGGGGCGAGCTATCTGAATCTGTGCCAGTAACCTGCCTTCTGACGCACACTCTTGCTAGCCAATAAGCTCCATTCTTATCTGTGATGCCTGGCCTGCCTTGCAGAACCTGTTTCCCGGAACACTCCCATTTCACAGAGGCTATAAACCATGAACCATATACAACCCCCGAGTGGGTTGGCAGAGCTGGCATCAGACAGGCCTCTGAGTGTAATCTCACTTCCCCTATCCCAACTCACGGGGGGCTGCAAAGCCCGTGAAAAGTCCAGAAGCCTGATCCATATTTGGGGGACAAAGGAACTAAGGGTATAAAGGGAAAGCTTCGTCCATATTCATCGCTCAGGATTTGGAGACTGACTTCCCTGAGTCCTGGCACTAGGACATCTGCAAATAAAGGCTACTCTTCTGAATACCCTCTGAGTACCTGGCCGATTAATTCTCCTGGGCCGCCTGGCAGCTTATCTGCAACAGTTCAACTACATCCTAAAAAACTAATCACTAGAATCTGAACATGAAACAGTATCCAGCAACAGTCCCGAAGACAGCCCACTAGAGTCATTCTTTAAGCCGACAGGTGACAGTTATAGAGAGGGATTGTTGGATAAAGCAAAGACACAAAGCAACAGTTAGAAAGTATGAAGAGAAAGTCAGTTAAAGCCTGACCAATAGAAACGGTTGAGGGTGGTGTTGGTGATTTGGAAAAACAGCCAACTGGATTTGGGATTTACCCTGAAAACTAGTGAGGCGTTGCCCACTCTGGGGTGTGAGGTGGCATTTTAACCATCATGGTAAAGTGTTGTCCAGAATTTTTCTCTTTATCATCGTAGGTTCTCTCCAAACTCCTCAGGACACTTCAGCCAAGGACCATCTGCTAAGGGGAGAACTTGAGTAACATCTTCAGATGACATAGCTGAAGCACCGAGCCCAGCGTCTGGTCTAAATGTGGTGCTAATAAATGTTAGTTCTTGTTTTGTGCCCTTAAGACATATGAGACTAATAGAATTTTGAGGGAAGTCATTAGTCTGAACTCTGTACAATTGCAAAGTATGCTATATTTGTGATGATGTCACAGAATGTTTGGCTTGGAAGGGCTGAAGGATCATCTTCAGGGCTAACTCCTTTTCTTTCCCCCAGCTTAATTTAGGTATAATCCTATACAATAAAAGGCTAATATGCAAATAGACTGAATGGCGGAATAACCGGTCGCTATGATGAGCACTGACCACCAGGGGGTCAGTGCGCTCCCACAGGGGAAGTGCTGCTCAGCCAGAAGGTGGGCTCAGGGCTGGCGAGCGCAGCAGTGGTGGCGGGAGCCTCTCCTGCCTTCTTGGCAGTCAGACATCCCCTGAGGGCTCCCGGAGGCTGGGCTGAGGGACCTCCCTGAGTGCATGAATTTTGTGCACACATTATGAAATGATCACCATAATCAAACTAATTAGCATATCCATCATCTCACTTAGTTATGTCAGTGTAGGCAGTTAGAGTTATTAATATAAGGGGAAAAGCAAAAAAGAATGAAATAATTTTAATGAACTGGGAAGCAGGAACAAATAATAACAGAATCTCCATCCAGCTTACTGGTAAACAGTCCCATTAACACACTCTAAGGGTGCTGCCACAGGCCACAGAATGGGACAGGAATCTTCCTTAGAAAGGCTAAAAGCCCGGTAAGGGAAGTGGGGGAGGAAATTCCTCCGCTTGGCGATGAACTGAACAAGTGAAATGGGAGTCAGGGGGATGAAATAGAGGGGCAGGGCCTCGTGTGGGAACGATTGGAAAGGCAATTGGATTGGATAGAGGGATGAAACCCCAATAGAATTCATTTACTGGGAGGAGGGCCCAATCCAAGGCTGTGAAAAGTTAAAAATTTGGGTTGGGTAATTTAAATGGTTCTTGTCCTTTTCCTAAACCAGGGGTTGTGAGCCTTTTTTCTGCCAAGGGCCATGTGGGTATTTATAACATCATTCAAGGGCCATACAAAATTATCAACTTAAAAATTTGTTTGCTAGCCCTAACGGGTTTGGCTCAGTGGATAGAGCATCGGCCTGCGGACTGAAGGGTCCCGGGTTCGATTCCGGTCAAGGGCATGTACCTTGGTTTCGGGCACATCCTCAGTGGGGAGTGTGCAGGAGGCAGCTGATCGATGTTTCTCTCTCATCGATGTTTCTAACTCTCTATCCCTCTCCCTTCCTCTCTGTAAAAAATCAATAAAAATACATTTAAAAAAAATTAGCCTGCTATATTTGGTCAAACATTTAATTAACTCACCCCTAATACCTTGGCAGGACCTTATATGGCCTAAACCAAGAAGATAGAAGAAGAATTAACAAAAGCCGTGGGCCCATGCTAGCCTGCCCACCCTCTAGGTCACCGAAGTTGTGTTAATTCTTCTTAATTCACAATAAAATCTTACCATCACGTTTAAACTTCTCCACACGTGTGCATTTGTAATTCTTTCCTAACATCGCCACAAAAGGACCTCTTGCACACACGGCAACAGATATCATTTGTGTGTGTGTGTGTGTGTGTGTGTGTGTGTGTGTGTGTATGTTGAAAACACTTAAGATCTAGTCTCTTAGTAAATTTCAAGTATACAGTAGTCATCATGCTGTACATCAGATCACCAGAACTTACTCATTTTATAACCGAAAGTTCATACCCTTTGACCAACCTCCTTACTTTCACCCCCCAGCTCTGAGCAATCACTCTGTTTCTGTGAGTTGGACTTTTTTAGATTCCACATATAAATGAGACCATATAGTATTTGTCTTTCTCTGTTTGGTTTATTTCACTTAGTAAATGTCTTTTAGTTTTATTCATATTATCTCAAATGGCAGGATTTCCTTTACTCATGGCTGAATAATTATCTATCTATCTATCTATCTATCTATCTATCTATCTATCTATCTATCTTTGATGACAAGCATGTTTAAATAAACAGAACTGTCCAGGTTCTATCTATCTATCTATCTATCTGTCTATCATCTATCTCTATGACAAGCATGTTTAAATAAACAGAACTGTCCAGGCGGCATCCTGTGTTCAGATCATTCCTCTCGCTTTCAGGCATCTCCTCTGAGTGATGATCACTAACCTAGAAGCCCTGCAGTCAGACAAAATTCTATAACAGACTCTTATTAAGACAGAAAGAGTGACTCATATTTTAGAAAGTTTTCTAATAACAAGGTTAAGCCTTGATTAGAGAACTCAGTGAATCAGAATACATTTTTTTGGGACCTAGCATACATTTTACCTATGGTCAGAGCTCAGTAAATGTGTGTTTATTCCCCTAAGAATTAAGGTTAAGACTGTGCTACAAAAATACCTCCTGAGCCGGGCAATGTTTTCCATCCTCCCTCTGTCCTGTCTGCCTAGCGTTCCCTCACTGCTTTTCCTCACAGTTCTCACATGAAAAGTGATCTAGGGTGACAGGAAATGGGGTGACTCATCTGACATCAGACAGCTCTTTTGATTTGTCCTTTTCATTGGCCTCAGTCTCGGATACTCGGAACCATCGTGTTGTTTGTGAATGTTTTTATTTTGCAGAAGACACACATGGACTGCAGTGCGACTCTGATGATTTCAAGGTCTGATGCGCGTGGCTGTCAGACAGCTCTTTGTTTTCCACAATCCTTTGACTAGAAAAAGCAATCACAGTGTGTTTTACTCATGCTGACCAACAAGGGCCAGGGGTGCCTTCACTGTGGTTTGTGTCTCTGGTTGTATACATTCATACCTTTCTTTAAAGGTAGGTTTTGTTTCTGTTTTATCTCATAATCTCTTCTTAGTTACATATATTTACTCTTCTAGTTGTGCTTGGTTGAGGAGAGAGATGAACTATTCTATGGGTAAATATGTAGTGTCTGTACAGGAATTACTGTTGTTACAGCTGTTAACCTATTTTTTATTGGTTAAGTTTAACGTGGAAAATAGGATTTTGGGGGTGGGATGAGGAGGACGGTGAAGCATTTTAAACCCTATTTTATTTTATTTTCCCAATTAAAACATGGTAATAATAATAATGACGCAGTTTTCTATCCACCTGTGCCACGGATGTATTCAACTTATTTATTTGTATTTGTACTTAATACTTTTTCAAAACGGATCTATTTGTTAGCTGGTACTATTACTCGGAGTATGAACTCTTCCGTTTTGTAGGTAGTCATCTTTGTTTTGGGAAACATGTCATATTACGATGCTGAAATGTGTCCTGAGAGTAAGGTCATTCATTTTAAAAGTTGAGACTTAGAAACGGACAACAGCTGCTCTGCCTGGACAAAACCACACTGCCATGTGCTGCCGGCTGTGCAGGGATTTGCTCTTCAAGACTCACGGCGGGTTTCTCTAAAATGTCTCAAAGGGAAAAGAATGTCTCACGGGGGGAAATGGGTAATGGGGAGGATTTTTGATTGTGTGTTTTATACAGAAATATTTCTACCATTATTAATTATGATGTCAAGAATGATGTTTTACTTTTAAAATTGTTCCTTTCTGCTGAAATTTCAGTGTTTCCAAAAGCTTTTGTCAAACGACTCTTTTTATTCAATATTATAACACCTGTCCTTTTGTTCATTTTTACCTAATTAATTTTTCAGTTTCTTTAATGATTTTTTCTTTCAGGGTGTAAATAATGTCAACACATTGATAGAATAATATTTCAGCTGTCAAATTTGAAATCTATAAGGGAAAATATAGAGCGGGGTATTAATGAAGTGAATTATGGCAAGTGAAGGGAAGTAACCTACTTTCAATGCATTCTTAGAAAAACACAAAGAGGTAGGCATTAAACTAGTGTCTAAAATTAAGCAACTGAAAATGCTATTACTTAAGAACCAATTTTGCATTATTTAAAAAAACAGTTTAAGTAATTTTGCCTTAAAAGCCTTGCATTCTCACAAATCCCCACAATAATTAAATTTCAAAGTTGATTTTAAGAAAGAGTATGGCTTGTGAAGACCTTAATGATCTTACTAGCTATTTCAGTTCGCAGCTAGCCACCTTGCTAGGTGAAGAAACAGGTCAGGGGGATCACTATTTTGACAGGAAAGGGCAGGACTATCCCTTAATTACTGGGTCAGTAAGACTGTGAGCTGCTTTCAGTGACATACGCCAAGAGGAGAGCTATGTCTCGTTATGTTTGTGGTGCCTTAGACTTTGAAAAGCGCGTTTACTAACATCATTTCCTTGGCGACAGTCCTGAGATGCAAGCATTCCTGTTTTTGTCTTGGACTCCTCACTGCCCGACCCCCCAGTGATGGAAGCCGCCAGAGACGCCCCAGCATCCTCTCTGCTTCTCTACTTTCCCCCTCTGTTTGGCTTGCAGATGGCGCAGGCTGTGCCTCGGAGGAGAGGCTCTTTCACAAACTGTTTTCGCATTATAACCAGCTCATCAGGCCCGTGGCAAATGTTTCTGAGCCCGTCACGGTGCATTTTGAAGTGGCCATCACACAGCTGGCCAATGTGGTAAGTGCCTCAAGTTCACCACCTGTGCCTCAAGGAGCCCCGACTCTGAGGGGTCAGAGTCCCCAACCATTCTTCTACTTCCTGCACATGGGAGACATGGGAATTATAAAAATACAGGTCATGCACTACACAGCTCCAGGGGATGTCAATCACATGGACTGTGATGCTAAAAACATGAACCATGCATGGTGACATTGGCCAAGGTTCATTCTTGTGCCTCAAGGAGCCCCGACTCTGAGGGGTCAGAGTCCCCAACCATTCTTCTACTTCCTGCACATGGGAGACATGGGAATTATAAAAATACAGACGGACAAGAATTTTCATGGCTGCTGGCCCTGCGCAGCCGTCCCGTCCTGGGAGAGACTTTCCCCATCGATGTTATAATTATTCACATTAACGCAGGATCGTTTTCTGGAAGTGTTTTTAGAGCCAGTTTGTGAAACAAAGAGGTGAAGGGGAAGTTGAAGGGAGCAGACAGAGCGAGCTACCCTCACTGTGCACCTGTTGTGCACCAGGCACTGTCTACGCTGTGGCCATCTGCTGCATTTGACGGCTGAGGAGCTAGAAGCTCAGTTAAGCAGCTTTTCCCAAGCTCACACAATTGCGGTGGAACTGCTGTTTGAATCAGCCCCGTTTAACTCCAAAGCTCATGCTCTTTTTACTCCATACAAAAAGTTGCTTTATGGCTTCTATGTTACATAAGAAGAAAAAAATCATCTTCTTTCTTATAGGATTCCATCCAGACCTGGAAAACCAGATGGGAATTTGGAGTTCTTATTTTAATTTATTGCTACCATGTTCAAGGGCAAATAGGACTAGAGTCCTTTCTTTTGACTAATTACTCTTCATTCCCTACTTGCTGGAAAAGGAGACAGTGGTGGTTGGTACTCTAACATAGAGGTGGGTTCTGGGCTCCAAGGCATGGCGGGGGGGGGGGGGGGGGGGGGGGGGGGGGGGTGGTAGGTCCAGCCTGAGGTACAGGATTTGGACCAAATTCCAGGAATAGGCAGGCTTGGGAAGTAAGGGACGTTTGAAGCATTTCCAGAGAGTGGTGTTAGAGAGAGTTCCTGAGACAACAGTGCACAGAAGGAGGGAGCCACCTTCACCACATCGGTCCCAGCCCATGGATGGGAAGGAGCCCTCCTTCTCCTAGTCCAGTGATGGCGAACCTATGACACGCGGGTCAGAGGTGACACACGAACTCATTTTTTTGGTTAATTTTTCTTTGTTAAATGGCATTTAAATATATAAAATAAATATCAAAAATATAAGTCTTTGTTTTACTATGGTTGCAAATATCAAAAAATTTCTATATGTGACACGGCACCAGAGTTAAGTTAGGGTTTTTCAAAATGCTGACAGGCCGAGCTCAAAAGGTTCGCCATCACTGTTCTAGACGCGGCTCTGGGTGGAACAGTGGTGTCTCCCTAGGTAAACCTGGGGAAAGACCCTCATGACAGAAGTGAAGTCAGGCCCCACCGTGTTTCTCCAACCCATGCTTCCCTGTGGACTAGGCTGACCCTGGCCTGGTCCTCTAGTTTTTGTCCCAGGTTGGAAGTGTGTGTATACTGTTTTGAAAGAAAGAAAGGAAAGAAAGAAAGAAAGAAAGAAAGAAAGAAAGAA